CTTGGTCGCCTCTTAAAAAAAAGGAGCCGAACACGAACACACTTTTTGAGCTCGAAATATAAACGAGCCGAACACGAGCTGGGCATGGCTCGCTCGTGTTCGGCTTGTTTACACCCCTATTTACATAAGCTAACATATAAAGTTTTCTTTTTTTATATTTTTAAGACTCATGACGTTAACATAACATATTTAAAAAAAAAAAAAACCACTATCTATTTTTAAAAATTTTTAATAATTTTTTTATAAATAAAATGCACCTTTTTATATAAATATAATATATTATAATATCAAAATAAAAATTTAAGTATTAAATGTATAAATGCATAGAAATTTATGTGACATGCATAGAAATATCTCTTTTTTTAGGATAATTACAAACACAACACACGAAACATTGCTATTTACAAAAAAAATGACACCAAGGTATCTCTTTTTTTAGGATAATTACAAACAAACATTGCTATTTACAAAAAAAATGACACCAAGGTGACAATTATATACACCAATGTATTTATGCATGCCACAATGGTCCGGGGTTTGACCACCCGTAATTTTGAGATTTATTTATATATAATTAGAAAATTTTAATAATTTTTTAGGCAATTTGGTAATTTTACCGCCCTCAACAATTTTTTTTTTTTTTTTTGGCCAAATACTTGAAACAAATTAAATATTTGGTGAATTAAATATTTGGTGCTTTTGTCGGCCCTAAAGAATAAAGTTGGCTCGGCCGGTGTGGTTGAAGCTTTATGGCGAATTTTGATGTTTGTGCTAATTTGTAAATAGCAATGTTTTGAGTGCTATGTATGTAATTTTTTTTTAAATTAGACACATTGATGATATGTGATATGTTCGATACACCTCATATTTTAACATTACAGACTTTTATATGGCAAAAATATTGGGGCATCATACCTTACCAAATGCAAATATTTACTAGATAAAACGGCGTGCAGGATTGGAGATCATGAGCCACTCATGAGGCTTCCACAAAAACTTGAGGGGCATTCACATGCATACCACCCAATTCTTATATATTTACATATCTAACGCCTAATGTTGAGAATTGGGCCCTTATTTAGAGTCCTATTAGGAAAAAAGAGGATTATTGAAGAGGTCTAGGGGTTTGTTTGTAAAGCATTGTAATACCCCATTTAAGCTTGTCTTATGGATGTACAAAGTAGATTTTTTTGGAATAATTATATCTTTATGGTATAAGAGCCCAATCCTAACCGGTGCTAGGGATCGGCGTACAGAGACCAACAACGACTGAGGGAGCTGCGACGCCGGGGAAGGCAATATGTGCATCTCGACATGTGACAGGTACTGCTAGATAGTTTTCTTCTTATACTCTCCAAGCAGTACAAGAGAGCATCCAAACTGTTGATTATACAACATAACCGGTAGTTGGTAAGGATGCAGTGAGGGTACAAATTATATGACTTTGTCCAATATTTTATATGCTCCGTCTTTTCTAGTGAACTGTTTATTTATTAGTGTTATTATTCTCCAACTAAAATATGTTGTTTCTTTTTATATTCCTTTAGTGATCTTCCAAGAGAAAGGGAGCGTTGGACACTTAGGACTGGAGCGTGGCGTAGTGGTATCTGCTACTTGGACCAAGAGGGATGGACTCAGCTTTGACATCCAAGGTAGAGAGAGATGTTTGGAAGTCTCATTGTCAGATGTTGAAAGGAGATAAGAGTGGGATCCTCCCATTGAAGGTGTTTGGATGTGTGTTTTTTGCAAAGGATAACAGGTTGTCATTAGAGAAGTTAGATCCCATAACAGCGAAATGTGTGTTTGTGGGTTATTTTGCTACCTGTATGAGATATGTTTGTTGGATCTTAATTGAGAAGATATTGTTTGTGAGTATGGATGTGTCATTTAGAGAATTTGGACCATACTACAACGAGAACGTGACCTCACCCTTCGGTGACTCGCCAGATACTGGAGAAATGAGGCAATGGTGAATGTAGTACACGTGGGAGCAATACATTGTCCTGTGATGTAGGATGAATAGGATGGGAAATCAAAAAATGAGGAGAGTGAACCTAAAGGAGGAAAAATTCAGGTTGAAGGTGAGCTAAGGGTGTATACACGGAGAAAAAAGCAAAATGAGGGAACAGTGCTTGTAGTGTCACTTATGTCAGCAAGTTTCTTGTTCTGGTTTTCCCCGACTCCTGAGACACCTACACCATCCACCTCAAACTCAGAACTTCCAAATATGATTCCTCCTCCTCCTAACCCCCCAACTTTAAGGAGAATCTCTCGCGGCAATGCAAAACATTCTTCCGATTGGGAGCATAACATTGTTAACTTTGTTTCATATTTTAACATATCACATTTACATTGAGCATTCATTGCATCTTGGATACTGTCTCTATACCCAAGTGTTGATAGGTTACTAAAGAGTCACCTAAGTGAAAAGTGGCTATGCATAAAGAGCTTAGGGCTCTCGAAAAAAAACAAACATGGGAGACAGTGCCAATTCATGTAAGGAAAAAGATAAGTACAAAGCACGACTGGTGGCAAAAAGGTAAAATCAGACATATGACATTGACTAAATGATGAAATATTTACATGAGTAGCAAAGATGAGCACAGTGAGAACACCAGTTTCTCTGGCAGTGAATGGTGGGTGGAGGTTACACCAACTTGATGTGAAGAATGCATTTCTTCAAGGTGAGTTACTGGAGGAGATATATATGGAGATATCACCAGAATTCAATATGGTCCAGACAATGGGCAAGGTGTGTAGGCTCAGAAAGTCATTGTATGACTTGAAGCAGCATTCTCAAATTTGGTTTGACAGTTTAAAAAGATTATGGTGGGCATAGGATATCAGCAGATCATTGCAGACGACATTGTGTTCTTTCGACAACGTGAATGTCACACTACTATACTTGTTGTATATGTTAATGACATCATTGTCAACGATGATGATGATGTAGAGATTACTCGACTAAAGATAAGATTGAGCAATGAATTTAAGGTAAATGATAGTAGACAGCTTCGATACTTTCTTAGGATTGAAGTGGCTCATGAAACTAAAGGAATGATCTTGTCTTATAGAAAGTACGTACATGATCTCCTCACAAAAACAAGCATGCTGGGGTGCAAACCCGCAGTCTTTCCAATTGACCAGAAGGCCAAGCTGAGTGCAGAGACATGATAACTGGTTAATTGTGAGTGGTACCGGAAATTGGTGGGCTATCTGATCTATTTATGTCACACTCAACTCGATATCTCTTTTACAGTGAGCGAGGTGAGCACCTATATGCATAATTCAAAGAAGAGTCATATGGATGTGATGTATCAGATTTTGAGGTGCATGAAGAGTACACTAGGGAATGGGTTGATCTTCACAAAGAATGAAAATATAAAAATTGAGTTTTTGTGATGCTGACTGGGCGAATTATGCATATAACAAAAGATCCAACTTAGAACACTGCATGTTTGTAGGGAACTCAGTTTCTTGGAAGAGCAAGAAACAATCTGTAGTAGAGAGGTTAATAGCAGAGGCAGAGTACAAAGCTATGATCTTATGAATTGCCAAGATAATGTGGCGGAGAGCCTTGTGGTCGAGCTCAAGGTGGACCAAGGAACTCAAATGAAGTTGTGACTCAACAACAAATAAACTATCAGCGTTGCCAACAACCTGATGCACATGATAGAACCAAACATGTGGAGATTGATAGATTCTTCATCAAGGAAAAGCTGAAAAATAGATTACTGGAGCTAAGTCATGTAGCCACTGGAGAACAAGTGGTTGACTGCCTCACAAAAGGATTTAGTTCATTAAATTTGCCTAGGTAATGTGACAAGATTAGCTTAGTGGATATTTTTTGCCCATCATCTTGAGGGGGAGTCTTGAGAATTGAACCTTATTTAGGGTCCTATTGCGAAAAAAAGGTAAAATATAAGAAGTTTAGGGGTTTATTTATAAAAGAGTGTGATGCCCTATTTAAGCCCATGTTAAGAATGTACAAAATAGATTTCTTGGAATAATTCCATCTTTACCTAAATTTTTCTTTTATATTTCTACAATCCAAATCTTTCATATCACATAAATAATAACACTAATTTAAACTCAAAAAAAAAAAAAAAGTGAAATACAACTTCGACATCCATATATAAGATGATGCATATATAAAAATTAAAGTCTAGGTGTTAGATATGTACATACATAAGAATTCAGTGGTATTTATTTAAATCTTCCAATACAAAAAAAGCTGATTAGAGAATTCACTAAAAGTAAGTTAATTTTCTTTCAATTAACATGCCATATTATAAACCAAGCCGATATGATTGTAAACCATCAGCCACTATAATTTAAGGCATGCATCTTCCCCAAGGCACAAGCCCACCTCATGCATAAATAATACATAAATAAGCACCCTTTAGAGAACAGAATGAGATGAGGAAAGAACAGAGAAGTTTATGGGATAGTTTACGAAGCCGATCAGGGACTCATCTGACTGTGTCCCGACATCCTCTCTACACAAGCTTTCATGTGGTGCTCATTTTCATGCCATTTGTCCGACTAGTTCTAACCTTCTCGGAGTTCCTAAAACCTCCATTTTAGCAGCCATTTGCAACAGAATATTTATTCAGATCGACGAGACGAGCATTTCAACGCAGAAGTGAAATCCTATTGTCTGCGCTTTATATCAGACCAAAAAATATGACAACAAACCTACACAAAAATTATTCCGGCCAATTCGGTCATCAAATTTTGATCTATCAACATTGTTAGATTCATGTCATTAACATCTACAAGAAAAAAACTTTGCTTTACGATCAAGTACTTTGCCGGTATAGTCTCCAATCCCAAATCAATCACCCAATCTAAGGATTAATTGGGACGGCCATATGGGTGCTACGTACAAAAAATTAAACAAAATCTTCCAGAATCAATGTTGATGCATTGATCCCTTTGAGTGCTTCAATTTGAGTAGTTCGGAGGACATAGATATGAATCTCCTAAAAACATTCGTATTTTCAAGGTGTGTTTATTGTCCTCAAACCATCATTAAGCATTGAGGCTGATGGTTAAATAGGCCAAGTGATTAGGGATTATCATAGTTGCTGATTCTTCTCCAATCAGAGCATCACATATTATGCATGTTTATATTAAATAATTATATTCAATCATTTATTTTATTTAATGATGGTATGATTGAATCTAATTTAATTTTGATAGAACAACATACAACTGTATTTGACTTTGAATCATAGCATGCTCAAATCCAATGAAATCAAATATGATTAAATCTAGGAAGACATATGCATGCCACTCAAATCTTATGTACTTACATATCAAACGTGTAAACTTCAATCTTTACATATATGCCACCTTAAATAAGCATGAAAAGATATATTTCACATATTTTTCACTTTTTGAAAGTAAAAATAGTGATATTTTTTATGTGATATGAAGTATTTGGTGTTATAAATGTAAAAAAATAAAGTTTAGGTGCTAGATATGTAAATACATAAGAAATGGGTGGTATGCATGTAAATGACCCTTAAATCTAACAATTTACATAATCAAACAAAGTATGTGATGATCTGATGAGAGGAGCTAACAGTTGCGATTGCCTTGCATCGCTTGGGACTAAAAAGATGTTCTTCAGGAGGTATAACTTTAAGGCTTCCTTTTTCTTAATTTTTTAAAATATTATAAATATGATTATTAAATTAAAAACATAATTAACATTTAATTACTGTGAATTTAAGTTTAGGAGGTATAACCTTTAATGTATTAAATGATATTAAAGAGTCTAGAAAAATCTTGGGTTGGTGAAGGCCTCCCCAACCACCTCTTTCCACCATTAAGCAAGCATCTACTTCCACCCTCTTATGATCATAGGCATTATGGATATCAATTAAAAACATTCTACTGACAAGTAATATTAAGGCCATATGTTAAAGTTTTATTTACAGATGATAAGAGTACTAAATCATCTATATAACATACTTATTATGTAAAAAATAAAAATAAAAAAACAATAAAAAAGAAAAAGCATGCTGTTTATTTGATTTCTCATAAATTAAAAAAAAAAAGTTCTACATAGCAATCCACCTCTAAGTCCGTCAATGATAACCATAAAAATTTCAAATGATGGCGAAATGCCACAACAAAAACAACAAATGCATGTGATATCTAACAAAAAGAGTAAATTAAGATTTAAGACTAACAAAATGGCTAAAGCCAACGGGATACACTTGCATAGGGGCCATTTGAAATTGAATAACATCACCTGTTTAAATGTATAAGAAAAACTCACAGCAAGATAAAAAAACATCATAAAACAGTAATTATAGAGCGATAACAAAAAAAAATTTCTCAATATGACTTCAATGAAAATGAACATAAAAAAGACACCAAGAGAAAAATAAGGATCATAAAACATGTACCTTCATTGGACGCCACTCCATCTAGCCCAATCCACAAACTGCATTCCTCCATATATATTATTGGCAAAACGCACTCCAATGGTGAAAGCCATTGCAACTAGTGGAACACGTCTGGCTACAGGAGATGCCTCCACAACCTGTTCCAGTCCATTAACAATCTGATATCGAGTGTTCGACGAAACCGCAAGGAAAACACCTACATTTCAGAGAATATAGTTGATTCAACAGGGTAACTACAATAGGAAAATGTCACAAGAAAATAATTTTGTGTTGCCATGCACAAATAAAACAATATTACTTCTAGTCACAGCAGCATCCAAATGAAAATACAAAACTGAGACTTTTTTGAATTTGTGGTGTGCCCCAATGGAAGCCAAACTTAGAGACGGAGGGATAAACACAGCGTGGAAGACGGTGAAATAGTGATTGGGTCTTTTCTTTGTTTTATTTTTTTTTATTTCCTATTTTTTCATGTTCTTTAACTTAGGTCTTATCCCATAAGATTGTTCTCACTTACTAAAAAATATCAATAATGAATATGTATTCATGTTCACATGCTTCATTTTGTTGAAATTAATATAATCTTATGTTTTTATTTTCTTTCTATAAGATTAATCTCACTTACTCAAGAAATAGTAAATATTTACAACATTTTTTTTTTAATTTATTTTAAATTGAGTATTTAAATCAATGTTTGATTGTTGGGTCTTCAACTGATATTTTTTTCTATTTATTGGTTAAATTTTGAAGTAAGCAATAAGTTATCTAACTTATGAATTTGTTTATGTGTTATTATAATTTTTTTTTTGCGTCATCTATGAGGTGGCAGTCCTTGAAAAACTTTGACATGTCATCAAGGATAGATAGCAAAAGCCTGTGTGTGAACTGAGCTAAAGAAGTTAAGCCTGTGCTACATAACTATGTTTTGGCATTTAACTGACGAAGAGATGGGCCCTTAAACCCAACCGAAAGCCATCTAGTTGTTGTTGGGTCATGTAAGTTGGAATAGGATTTACAGCAAAGTCCACCCAAATCAACCGAAAAATGACACCGTGCACTGTTGTACAAAATGTTAGCCAAAACCTAAAGATTTCCATGCTTCCATAATGATTACCTTCGAAGAATACCTATCACTCTCAAGGATAATCACCAGCTAGCAAGTTGATCAATTACGTTGATCACAGGAATCCGATTTACCCCTCTCTCTCTCTCTCTCTAGCATCATCATCAGGCAGGACGCGGGAGGGTTATTTTTTGCTTGTTAGGGTTACGTTTTGTGTGATTGCTACTTTAAGTTTTCCCTTTGGAGTATTCTTCTCCCTTACTAGGGTTGTATATGGGTGGTGCTTTGGTTATATCTTGCTCTAAGGTGGTGTTGTATCCTCTCCTATCATCTTCCCTAACCTTCTCCTCCACTTCCCATATCCACCGGCCTCCCCACCTCATCCCAACTACTCTACTGCCCCTTCATCATACCGCAGCCTTGCTGTCCAGACCACCAATCCCCCTATTCCCCTCCAACCTGCTTCTAGCATTGTTGTCCAGCCTCCCAGTCTGTCCAGCTCATCCCCACCATCACCCAGCACCCTTCACCAGCTTTCCCTGCAGCCACACTCTCTCAAACCCCCAAACCAGCCACCCACCACCCTTCCAACATATCTGATTGCCCTCAACCCTCTCCATTTTCCCTTGCCACTTTGCCGACACCAACACCTCCCTTAGAGCTTTTTCGGTCCTAGCCAAAGATTAGTTTGATTTTGTATTTCTCATTTCCATTTGTCTTGTATTATAACCCTAATCAGTGCTAATAAAAGTTTGCTTTCGTTTCTGCTGATTTCCTAATTAGTTCCGATATCAGTAACTTTCAAAGATATAAGAGATGAATTCAACCCTATGGCGAAAACAACCGAGTGGTTGTTCCTCCAACTCTAGCAGTTTTGCCTTCTAATTTTCATAAAGCCGCACTTGGGCCAAACATTTGCCAGCATATTGAGGATCCTGCCACAGCTCTTGCCATTTCATCTCCAATTGATAAAACAGCCATGCTCACCAATGTACATCAGATTGTTCTAGAGTGGAGTGCTTTGATGATTATAGTTCGATTCAATCTCAAGGTTCTACTAGAATTTTTGAGAATTTAGTGGATAACGTACTGCAACTGGTATTCTCTAGTTATATCACCAATCTAAAGAGAGTGTTGCTTCATTCTCCTGAATTAACTAGATTTCAAGGGAGTTGTAATAACTCCCCTAATGATTTGGCGGTTGATGTTAGAGTCAACATGAATCACTTATCTAGGATGTCACTACACTCTTTTCTTTAAAGTAGCCTAGTCTGATATATTTTTTCTTTTATTTCTTAGAATTAGTCTTATGTAACTACTTTATCATGTGCCTTTTTTTACTAGCTAATCATAGAATTACATTATTTAGAAAAAAAAAATTAGAAAGAATTATTTATAACCAACATTTTCTTTTGTGGAATCATCTTCCCTCTCTACCTCTAATCGATGAAGACAAACGAGCCAAGCTAATTAAACATTTGTGTCGTCACTTCAACTTTCTTCATTTTCTCTCCATTATTTCTTTCATGTGGCATTCCAATCAGATGGCTCCCATTTTGCCATATAGTAAGCTAGCTCAAAATCTTAATTTTCTTATTAAATCTGAGATTAAATCACATTGGAGCTCGTGCGCTAGTAGAATATTGCATCATGGTTATTCATCCTAATGTGCGAGTTTTGATTGTTCGCAACATTATAGGCACAATTTAAACTACTTTGTTCAATGACATCCATGAAAAAGGAATTGTCCTTGACCATTCAAAATGAAGCAAGAAAAATAAATATGTACACACGTTAAAAAAAAAAAAGGCTTGGAAGGATTAATAGACACCAACAATTTTATAATTGCGCATATACTAAAAAACATATTGAGATGAGAGTTCGCCTACTTATCATTATCCTTAACCCAATTATTGATCAGGTGTGAGCCTTATGAACTCTTATATTTCATTCATTCCTGATTAGTATCGTCTAAAGAGTTAAACCCATTCTCCGCAAAATTATTGTAGAAAACTTACGTTAATATAGTTTTGGGTCTGACTGTTTCTTCTTCCTAGTCCTCTAACACTAATTTTAGTTGCTCTTCTAATAAGCATTTTATGCCCTAATTGTAACTGTCCAAATCGCATGTCTACTTTTAATTATCATATCCTCAATAAATATCACAGCAACCGAACCTCTAAAATAATCATTCCTTAATTCATCGTTTGAAGTTTCATCACATATCCATCTTAAGATTATTATTTTTATCACATTTAACTTAAATATTAATGATATCTTTAGTTCCCAACATTTGGATCGATATACCATCACGGACCAAGTTAACATTTGTTAAAATTTAAATTATTTTAAGTATCTATGATATTCTCTTACAATATAAAACACATGTGATATTTCTCCATTTTAAACATCTAGCCTTAACACTAAAAGCCATGTCATCATCTTTATCAATATTATTTCTTTGTATGATAAATCCAAGATATCTAAACCTATTACACTTAATAAGCACATACTTCTCATACAAATCATATACAATTTTAACAGCTCCATAGAGCTTAAATATGGAGCAAACTTAAACATTACAGAATTTAGGAATTCTCAAAGTTCATCCATGATTACCATCGAGTTGTTATTACCACTACACTCTAAAAAGTATGGTCTCGGGCTCTTCACCGTCACTAAAAAAAATGCAATAATTTGGAAAGTAGATGATTAAAACATATAAACAAATAAAGAAAGACCAAGAATTAAAGTGTAGATACAAATAATTCAGTAAACATGTTAACAGCCTAATAAAGACTTAAAGTAAAACTCAAATTCTATTTTTGTACAGTTAAGCTTTCCAAAAGTCGATTGGGAAAGCGTAATATAGCTGCACAAAACAATGGCTTAGAAACTATATTTTCACAATAAAATAAAGAGATTTTCCAGAAAAACAAATGCATAACCCATGAATTTAGAACATACCCCAAAGAACAGCACTCTTAACAAGTGGTGGAACTGGTATATCTTCTTCTGATTTATTTACATTCCTACAGAAGATACATAAGAGATAATTAGTAGTGTGGAATCCTATAAAAAATAATATATCCAAGTGATTTTAAGAAGCATTAAGTCTTAGAACAGGCAAAACTAAATATTCTTTAACTATTGTAAAATAGTCGACTGCTACATTTTCTAAGTAATAGAAGCTCCTCTAATAATTTTCTCCGATTAAATTACATATTCTGATATAACTTGTGTAAACTGGTACCGAGCATTTTCAATAGCATAGTTCATGTTGTAATAAATGAGACGAAGCAGAAGTTTCTATCAAGCTATCAGCAATATGACTTGCATGGAATGTAGGGCCTAAATGATAACCTGAAGAGACGCATGGAAAATTTGTAAAATAAGAAAGGGAAATCTACATGCCACACGATTCTTATGTAGCTACATATCTAACACCTAAACTTTCATATTTACATGTGTTTTTCAATCAAAAAGAGAACACAAAAGCAATTTCTTAAATATATTTGAGCTGGAGTTATAACTAGTCGACTAACTCGTTAGATCAATCTCTTAAATCGACTTCATTCTTGGCCAACATGCAGAGATTGCTTTGTCACCGCTGCGCATTTGAGTTCTCTCTTTCATTGAAGAGGGTGGTGGTCTCGACTCTCTGTATATGCCTCTTAATGGATCTCTCAAATTTATTTAAAGGTTAAATATATAATAGGTTTAATAGAACTTTTTATTTTATGGTTCATATGGCATTAGTATTTGAGCTTTCAAGACAGTAGTTTTTAGATGCTATTTAATTTTTTTATAATTGGATATTCGTATATTATACTTTTGCATAACCATCTCAATCAAACACATGGTTGTCAAAATCCCAAACAATTTTTCATGTTTGTGCTATTAGATTTTGATGTTCATATATAAATGGAATGATTATGGAATTTGAATTTTAGAGTTTGTTTGAAATGTTATCCATATATTACATTATTAACCATATTTTTAATTTATGAAATAATTAATATATAAGCTCATGGGGCTTACAACCCATGGCTAGGGTCTTATGCCCAACCCATGATAGGCAAGACACCCACCGTATGCGTCTAACTTTCAAAACTTTAGCAAGACAATAATTCACCATCCTTATTAAATCATGATTATCTTCTTTCTTATCCTAAAAATTTAGGAACTAGTTATGAATCATTATTCTCCGTCCAATTTGTTTTGTCTGTGCTTATGGGAAATTTAGTCTTTTATTAGTTCAAAAATAATTTAGTTTTTTATTATTTATTATTGTTGGGTATAAATAGGATTAATATGTTTAAGGTTAAGGTCATGCAGAAGATTGTAGTTGTGAGTCTTAGGGCTAGGGTTTGGGAGAGATTTCCTACCACTCAAATTGTCTTTGGGAGAGATTGCCTACCTCTTGAATTGTAGGTGTTTATCTTTTTGTATTCGGAGTTGTATCGTTTTAATTTATTTTTGGCAGAATAAAATCTATGATTTTCTGCCCTAGTTTGTGTGAGAAATCGCTCAGGCTCGTATCAAATTTGGTATCATAACATTTGATTCTGAAAAATTGACGAGATTAACGCTTAGAGAGTTTATGATATCGCGGCGCACATCCGTCGTGTCGAGATAAGAAGCGAATTGTGGCATACAGGCACATCTATCCTGCCCTAATTCATGTGACACAGTCGCAGAAAAATCTAGTTAGGACGCAAAGGGCGAGATCGTAGCATACAGGCACATTCCATCGTGCCCTAATCTATGCAAATAGTCACAGAAAGAACAAGCCAGGATGCAAACGAGGGGATTACGGTGTACATATGATAGGATCAAGGCACGCACAGGGTTATGCACTTTACCAATGCAATCGAATCGGTACTGACCTAATCTAGACTACCCGGGAAGCAATTGACAAGATTTCATGTTACAATAGTTCCTTCATCGTGATCAAAACCAATTCTGGAGGAATGACGGGCAAGAAAGTAAATGATTTGCAGAAGAAATTGGAGGAAGAGATTAGTCAAATCAGATCCAGGATAGAAAAAAGGTTCTCAGCCATAGAAGGAAGGTTTTCCTCCATGGAAAATCGATCTGAGGGCTAATTCGAGAGCTTGAAGGAGAAGATGAGAATCTTATTGAGATGCAATCCAAGACCCCGTCGGAATCCTTAGCTTAATTGAAAGGCAAAGAGATCGGACGAGAAGAACACGAGGAAGAAAGCATCCATTATCAAGAAACCTTCCTAAGACTCCAATGGGAGGAAGTAGAAAGGGTTGGGCCAAAACATGGAGAAGGGGTCATGCAAGCAATATAGAAGAGCACAAAGAAGAAAGGGGAGAAGCTAGGATGGGGTATGACTATGATCGAAGTAGGGAATTTTACCCTAAAGACATGGGGGGAAACACCAGCAGGAGAGGGATTTAGGGTGAAGATGCTAGGAAATTGAATATATCAGTATTTGGGGGGGGGGGGGGAGGGGGGAAGATGCACATGAGTGGGTGTACTAGGTGGAGCGATATTTTGCGGTGAATGGGCTAAATGAGGATGAGAATATCTTGGTGGCAGAGTTATAATTGGAGGGAAGAAAACCCCTAGCATTGTTTCAATAGAGAGAGGCTAGATACATGATCCACTCATTGGAGAAATTTAAGGATTGTTTGTTGTTTCTGAGCCATTCGAGAAGAATGTCTATACCAACAATTATTTACCCTAACTCGGGAGTATATCGGAAAAAAGTGTTGGAAGAAAACTTTATGAAAGGATTGAAGCCAGAGATTCAAGCATCCCTGAGTCTGTTGAAACCACAAGGATTAGGGGCAACTATGAAATTAGCACAGTTCATTGAAGATAAAACTACAATTGAACTGGCTAATAGAAGCAACACAGATGTAGTGTAATACCAAATTGCTACAACTACAACGATACCAGAAGCTCAAGCAGTGGAAGTCCGAAGGGAGCCTCCAAAGAACATGAATAATGGGTCATGACCGAGAACAACATTCAAACGCTTTACAGAGATAGAAATTCAAGAGACGCGAGCAAAGAAGTTATGTTTTCGATGTGATGAAAAATTTGCCTCATGGCACTGTTGTAAAGACCGGGCATTACGGATTCTCACAAAGTGTTACGAGGAGGCAGAGGTGTTCGATCCAGCAGCAATTTCTTTTTATCCACCTTAAGGACAAGGTGCTTTTTTGGGAGAGGAGTATTGTTAAGCCAATGTCTAAGGGCAATTTTATTTTTTATTAACCTAAAGGCAATTTAATCTTTCATTATTATTATTATTATTATTATTGGGCATAAATAAGGTTAATAAGTTTAGAGTTTAGAGTTATGTAGAAGATTGTGGTTGTGAGTTTTATGGTTAGGCTTGAAAGAATTTCCTACCACTCGAATTGTAGGATTCGGGAGAAATCGTCTGCCTATTAAGTTGTAGGAGCTTATCTTTTTGTATTTGGAGTTGTATTGCTTTGATTTGTTTTTTTTGGAATAAAATCTATTATTTTATGTCCTAATTTTTGTAAGAAATCACACTGGTTTCTATCAACCTAGTATTAGAGCTATTGATTTCTAGGAAACAAAGGAAAGGATCGCGACGTACAGGGGTCTATGTCACGCCACGCAGGCTTTGTGAAGAACTCACACGAAACAATCATGATTTCAAGGTAAGGATCGCAATGTACAGAAGTGTGCCTTCGCGATAGTACCTCGCGATACAGTCGCGACTAGAGCTAGCGGAAAAGGAAGTGACAATATCACAAGAAACAATGTGAAACTATCATGTTTCAACCTAGCTAGGAATCACAACAGGGTGATAGAGTCGCTCAGCGGTATCACGACATACAATGACTAAACCTCACGATTCGGTTGCGGTAAGAGCTAGTCAGGAAACCAACCACGAAATTGCGGCATTCTTGTCGTGATTTAAGCTACTTGGGAAGACAGCGACGAGATCGAAACATAAAGGAATTTCGCCTTCTTGATCAAAAAAATTTTTCGGGAGTAATGGAAGCAAAAAAAAAATAGAGAGAGAGAGATGCTTTAGAGAATAAATTGAAGGAACATATTAGCTAAATCAATTTGAAATGGATAAGTGTTTATCAGTCATGGAAGGGTCGTTCTTGCCATAAAGGTATGAGTCAAAAGGAGATTCACGGCCTTGAAAAAATGATAAAGAAAATTGTGGAGTTTCACGCAAACCAGCGGCCACCTACCACGAGAACGAGTGACGACGCCTTGAGGGGATGCAAGCAGCAGCAATCTGAAGGATTTGTGCGGCATCACGACATCATTGTTGTCTTAGGCGGATCTAGAGCCACATGATCGAGCAAAGGGATCGGGAGCAAACTCAAGCGGCGACATTAGGATGGAATAGCACGACATTCAAACGACTGGAACAAACGGAGTGGTCAGGATTGAGCAAAGGAGTTAGAAGTGGATTCGAGCGGCAACATCTAGAGGAAGTTGCATGACATCCAGAGGTTTGGAACAAGCGACAGTAGAAGAAACGAAATGAAATACAATTCAGGATTATAGAAGATCGACTCGTAGGACGACTTGAAACAGGGAATCACGATGGGTGAGACCCCGACGGAGGGCTGCATCCAACTGCATCAATGTCTTTTGCTACGGCAGCCTTCTGAGGGGAAGACGATTCAGGAGTAATGATCGGAACATAACAGGTGAAAATAACCAGGAGCGTTTGTACAGGTTTGATTTGGACACTGCATGGTATTCGAGAGGGAAACAAGATGGTGGTGTTTCACGATGACTCCAGTTTATGCAAGACTTTGGTGACACTGAAAGCCATGGTGAGGGCAACTAAAGATGCAGGATGCGGATCTTGATCAAGTTGCATAGCATGGAAGAGACGTATGATATAGAGTTGACAGAGATTCTAGTAATTAATGAACTATGGGACAAGTTATTTGAGGTTGTTGTATCCTCCAACATTGAATTTAAATCGGAAAGTCATCATATTCGAATGAGGCCAAAGGATATGCACAAGAAGACGTTTCGATATCATGAGGGTTAGTATGAATTTTTGATTTAATAGTAAGGATTATCAGATGATGATGTCGCATGGGAGCCACACGATCTCATCCAACAGCAATTTTCTTTTTTTTTCTCCGTCTTGAGTACAATTTGTCTTATTGGGAGGGGAGTATCGTTACATCGGTGCTTAGGGACAATTTAGTCTTTTATTAGTATAAGGACAATTTAGTCTTTAATTATTAATTATTGTTTAGTATAAATAGAGCTTAATAGGATTAGGGTGGGGGATGCATGAGATTGTGTCTTGAGTCTTTGGTTTAGGGTTTAGGAGAGACCGCCTACCTTTCAAATTGTAGAATTTGGGAGAGATCGCCTAACTCTCAGAATTGTAGGTGCTTATTTGTTATGTATTCATGTGAGTTGTTTGGTGTTGTATTGCTTTAATACGAGATTGGTGAAATAAAATATTTTATTTTCTCTAATTCTTATGAAAATTCGTCTCAAATCATATCACGGTGTTAAATGTTGTGTGGTTATAGCTGATTTTAGAAGAAAATCATTTTCTCAACTATTTTGGCCCAATTCTATCAATCCTTGCTCGTCTTTAGACCTACCGAGCCATATGAAATGTTAAATCCTATTTCATGCAAATACTTTAACACAAATTCTATGTATTTTCTTATAGATATACCCTTTCTTTTTAATCCTTCAACATAAATTTTATCCACCCAACTTATTAGTATATTTTTTAATCTTTCATGTTCTAGTCTAAACCAAGTCCATCTTTCACTAACTCATCTACAAGAATGCTACTTCTATCTCATTAATTGTTTTTATCAATCAATCACTTCTAATTTTGCCTCAAATCCATCTTTATCACTTCAGTTATACCACATCAACCTGTTTATCACAAAAGTCTTCACTTTCTACCACACCAACTTGATCACAAACTTCTTCACCCCAAAAGCTGGAATTCATATAGCATATCCAACTTAATTGTAATGTCATAAAATTCACTTTTGGGAGCTCATTTATTTCAGATTTTTGTCTGCTTTAGAGCAACACAAAATAAATTTAAAGGAGCGTATTATCTGGATGAAAATCATTATGCCATTTTTTAAAAATTTTGCCAGGAAAAAATGCTATTTTTAAAACTCTTATCTTGAAATTGCCTCAAAAAGCAGCTTCCTAATATCAATTTATTGATGTGCTTCATAAAATAAAAAGCCCAACAATGTGAATCATGCCTCCATGAAATTCACATATCATATAGTACTTATAAGGCACTTCTCACCTTTTAGCAGCACAACTTCAACCCTGAAAATCAATATCCTACTCAATATCCCTATCTACTTATACGATAAACCTAAAATGCTTAAACCTATTACACATGGGAAGATAATACCTTGAATATGTTTCGTAAGTATCTTCATAACTAATGCAATGGCTTAAAGAATGTTGGCAACATAAGCTAAATCAGATGTAAAATTGAACTTCTTAAAATGGTGCATAGACCTTAAAATAAACTAAAAGACGCATATTGAGCACAAAACCAGCAAGAATCACAAAGTTTCAAATATAAATAAAATGTGTCTCGGGGGTCTTTTTAGTGTCTTTGGGCGTGATATAGAATTGAAATTCCTTAAAATGCCCCATTAAACATCAAGAACTTTTAAAAAATGCATCATATAAGCATTAAAGAAAGAGATCAGACCATGTAAGCACAAAAATGCTAACAATGAAGAGCTCACCTTTTGGCAGTCATGACCAAATTAGCAATGCCTTGGCCAAAAAGTCCACAAACAAAACCCACTGAGCCATATAGAACTCCCTGTAAATTGTATATGTTGGAAACAAAAGAAACTAAAGGCTTCTTAGACAAGTTAAAAATTATCGAAATAAGATAATTTTTCAGTGTTTACATAAATTTGCAAGAGATAATATTGAGATACCTTATAAAAGTATGTTCCAATTCGCTGCTTGATTGAAAATCTACTCCCAGGCCTTTCAGCTTCAAAAACGCTGCATCAAAAAATACTACTTTAGCTTCTTGTAAATCAAGCACTACAGCAACATGACAAGAATAAAGTGAGAAGTTAATATAAACTAAAGCATTTCATCTAGAAGAAGCTCATTTGTATAGAAACAAAGAACTACAGAGCATGCAGCCTCTTTGGATCTAACACGTGGGGTTAAAAGTAAAGAAAAAACAAAAAAGTAGCTGTGGCAAAATTTGATCCCTATACTTTGGCAATAATTTTGAAATTTTTTATCAACTGAACTGGCTGGCAAGCACCAAATTATGGGCAAACTTAGATGCCAAATAAAAACATGAATTCCTCTTAACCAAGGATGATTGATAATGCTTTAGGGCTTCTAGAAAGTGTTTATGAATGGAATTTAGCATGGGTGTGATAATAGAATAGCAAGAAAATGATATATGGACATTCAACTGCATTTGGAGGGGGATAAACAACGTTTGGCGGCTGCCCCTGCTGAAAACAGAGGAATAAATGGCGAAACGTTAAGATAAAGGTGGCGGGGAGGATCCACCACTTGTTTCTAAGCAATATACAAACACACCACTTGCAAAAGGAAGAGAATACAGTACTCTGGAAAGCAAAACAAAGAACAAAATCTCCAAACATAATACTAGCCATTAGTCCCTTAAACCAGCAAAATAACAACATATAAATAGTTTCTGCTGGAAAAAACCCCCAATTACAAGAAAATAAATAAGAAAAAGCTGAAAAAGGAAAACACTTGTTGAAATTGAAAACAAGACGGGATTGTGCAGCCTGGCTCGCCCGCAATTGTCTAAGCTATAAATTCTACAATATCTCAGAATTATCGTGTTCCAGATTGTCATGGAACCACAGGATCACCGAATTCTGAAATATTGTGGCCCTCTCACGATTGTCGATTGGGACCGTGACATCCTGTAATACAGGCACTCCCAGGTCATTTTTCTCGGGTAGGAGATGCTTCGCCCTCTCCGTAGGCTTCTAAAATTGATCTACGACTACCACAACAAAGTCATCGATTAATGTGTCTGATGCAGCCCAACCGCAAAATTTATACTCACAATCAATACATACAACTCTAAAACACATATTTCATTTCAAAGACCGTTTTGATAGAAAAAGTCGTCATTCTTTTTTGGCACAATCAAAGCTAGAACTAGAGAATGATAGGTATTCTCACAAATCAAGTTTGGAGCCATCAAATATATAAAATGCTTCTCCTGCTCCTAGTAATCAGTTGGGCGTAGATGATAAACAAGTTTGTTTGGAGGAACTGACCCTCGAATAAAATTTATGGTATGCTTAACCACTCTCAATGGCAACCACTCAAGAGGTAAATTGTTAGTCATGACATCTAAAAATTCTCTCATCAAGGGTGGCCCCTTTAATAGTATCAACTCATCGGACATACTACCTTTTAGGAAAACCAATATTATTCGTGTTAGTCTCTCTAATGGAATCAGCTTGAATCACAAACATCCCTCCCTTATTAGCTGGAAGCCGATGTCTTCATTTTCTCCAGTGTTATTATTAAGTTTTTCTACTGCTCAATGCTCAATGGAAGAGATCACTCTTCTATTTCAATACTTATATGCAATGTGGCCAAAACCGTGACACTTGAAGCATTTCTTGGCTATGACGGATTTGGGAGTACTAACAGTCTCCACTTTTTCTCATGCAGGGTCGACTTGGATGCTCAACTATGTATACTCTTATTGTATTATTCGGGGTTGAACTCTACCTGAAGGGTAGTGTGGACTTGATATTGTTGTTTTGCCTCTCCACTTTAAAGGATAAAGTCTGGATATCTTGTTATATTCAGTAGATTAGTAGTTGTCCACGTTGCTGATGGACGGTCTCAATTCCTCAAAATATTGCCCATGGTATTCTCTTTAGGCTACGCTAGTTCAAGTTTAAATATAAGTTGTTGAAACTCAGCAGTGTACTCTTCTACTAAGAGATCTTATTGTTATAAATAGTAAAGCCTCAAAAATATATCATGTATCTAATATGCTAGTCGATACTTGCACCGCTTCTTTCGATTCATCTTGGACCATAATTTTACCCTTTCTCTCACACTTGCGTACATGCTTTAAATTTTTCCACAACAGAAATGCATTCTTTTTTAACTTAATGGTGGCTATCTTTTTCATTATATCGGATGGGTCGTTCATGTACTCAAAAAACACAGTCCAGTGTTTAGAGTCGCTCGATGAATTTGTCCACATTCATGCGACCTTTAAAATCATATAAATCTACCCTTACTCTTAAGATTTTGGTTTCTCCTCTGATATTTCATGTTAAATTGTCGAGATAATGGTTTTGCATAACTGAAAACCGCCTAGCGGAGGTGATTGTTATGGCTAAGAATGACCTCCCTGTATTGTCTTTTTTCAAAGGGGTGAAGAATTTCTCATTGCATGTACTCCGTAATAAGCTCTTAAACACCTCTTTCCAGATTTCTCTTACACGACATTGTGTCAATTTCTCTTGATCAAGATTTTGACGCGTGTAGGATTTTAGATAAAAGGTTGGTTAAAGTTTAAAATTTTGGTGGTAGGTGTCTTTGGAAATTTTTGGTGAAGGGAGAAAAGTTAAGTTTTAAAAACTTTGGGTTAGGCTTCGGAATTGTGATAAAAATAGATAGAATATGGTAGAATTTTTTTCTTTTATGAATTTTGACTTAGGATAAGAAAGATAAAACGTCAAAAAAGTTAGCATTTGTCGGGCTACGATATCAAATAATACCATTATATGGCTCCTCAAAAGTATTTAAAAGGGGGATTTAGTGGGGTGTAGTCGTGGAATAGCAAGGTAATGATAATATGGGGTGTTCAACGATGTTTGGAGGTAGATAAGCGACGCTCGGCGGTTGTCCCAACTAAAAAAAATGGGTCAGACGGCAAAACGACGAGATGCATGCGATGAGGATGATCCATCACCTATTCCTAGGCAAGAGACAGACACAAACTTGCAAACAAAAAAGGATAAACAATTTGGAGGGCATAAAGCAGATAATAAAATCATCGAAGACAATAATATAGACAAAAGTCCCCTGGACCAGCAAAATAAGAACATATAAATAGCTCCTGCAAATTAGAAGAAATAGATAGAGAAAAGCTAGAAAAGGAAACACTCTTGTTGAAATTGGAAACAGGACAGGATCGTGCGGTCTAACTCACTTACGATTGCGGAAGCTACAAATTCCGCAATATCACGGAATTATTGAAATATGGATTGTCACAAAATCGTGGAATCCCCAAATTTTGTGATATTTCATCTCTCTCGCAATCGAGACCATGGAGTTTCATAATTCAGGAGCTCCCATATCAGTGTTTCTAGTGAGCTTTCGAAAGACACTTTTTATGGCTCCAGACAACCCGTGAGATCGAGACCTACTCGCCACAAGGCAAGTACTCGCAGGGCGGGGTAACTGTGGGCAACCGACTAGATATCAGAGGTGACTTGACGAAGTGCACAGAGAACAAAATGTCAAATACGATGCCGACAAAAGATTGGATGTCAGAGATAATATAATATATACAACCAAGGTAGTAAATGACAAATTCAAGAAGTTAAGGAATCTAAGGGATTCTAGTATAATCATAAGCCGTGTAAACTTTCCGAGAAAAATACTTCTATATAAAGGGGAGAAATTAATGTAAAATGGGGGCCTTTTTTTAAGGTTAAACTGTTACCCTTAAATTGAATATGGTACACCTATCACTCTCTTCTCTCAAGCTCGCCCCTTCTTACTTCACTGGCTCCGTCCTTGGGTGTGATTTCACGGACAAAATAGGATTCAACAAACAATATCAGAACTTAAACAGCACCTAAGTTTCCATGTTGACGACATGCTTAAATAAATGAACATCATGTATTCAGTGTCACTATATACATTCATATGCCATCTACACACTAAATAGCAACTATGAAGTCTCATATAAAAAAAAACTTTCGAATTGTCATAATTCTACTCACACTCCGATTCGTAATTGGAAATATAAGGACAAAGAGTAGTACATGCTTCTTCTATTGTATCCCCATTTATGTCGAATTGCCAGAACAAATATGCAACGTACCTGCTAGGCAGAGAAGCACAAGCACGTGAAATGCCCCCAAAAATCCCATTTGAGAAAGAAGGCTTTCCAAATCTCACATATGGTGCCAAAAGACCCACCAAAGCAATATCCACCACCACCCCTACCAAAAGATCAGCGGCGTACAACTCAAACTCCGGCCAGAAATCCTCCCCCCTCTTTTGAATCTCCGCAAAGGTACCGCAGCATGCGTCTATAACCACCTGCATTGTCCAATGACCTAATCATCAACACAAAACTACAACTCCAAAGATAGAATCCATAAGCCAGAATCAGTAAGGTTTACCTCTGCGCCGACTTTGAAGAGAAAAGAAGGGTCCGCAAGCATCCGATTACGGAGCATCGAGCACGACCTCATCGCAGCTCCCAGTGGCCATGGCGAGGCCTTGACTCTCAAAATAAGGAAAATCAATGAAGGGCTTCGTATGAGCATCGCATTTTAAGAACGCAACGAAAAGAAAGATATTATACCTGCATGTCTAGGTATCGAAGAAGAAGAAGCTTTCGGATACCAATGGACTTCGCAGCATCAAGCATGTCGGAAGGGAGGCTCGCAACTCGAGCATCGGTCTCGCGGATTACTTCCTCGAATTTCAAAACCGGCCCGAACTCCTCCTCCACCTCCTTTTTATAGTCATCTTCCTCCCCTCCACCTCCGCTGCCTCCGGTTGGGGGTTCTCCGGGAGGACTTCCGCCGCCATCAGATATGGATTTAGTGGCTTCAAATGTCTTCCTGCAATGCCGGGGACTATCTAGGTTTAAGGAGGCGAAGATGAAGAGTTTCTTGGAAGGGAGTTTGGGTTGGTTTGGTGGATAAAGCGAGTCTTTGGAGTGGAAGATTGAAGTTACAGCAAGGGAGTTGCACAGGAGTGAGGAGGAACAAGGGGAGCAGGACATCACTTCGATTCTAGCACACGCCCAGGGGTAATTAGGTAAAGGAATCCAAACGAAAATTTTATACTAACCCTTTTCTTATTTATTTATTTTTAAAATTTTCATATATTAATCACCCACCATCAAATTATTGATAATTTTGACAAAAATAAAAAATAATGGGATATAGTTTTGCCATGAATTATGATAACTGAGTGAGAATTTAAAAAATGGATGAAAAATGGTGATTGTTTTATAAATAATAAATTTCAAGTGAACTTTATGTAATTGTTTATTATTATTATTATTATTATTATTATTATTATTATTATTATTGAAGCATATTAGAAGATTCACTATGGTAGAGTGATTGATCGTCGTAGTATTGTATGAAAATTTAGCATATAATTAGATGAAAGAAAACAAGTCGATACACGAGAAATTTTTATGTGAAAATTTTGTAAAGAGAAAATTCACGAGGTCTTGTCAAGTTAAAGAAAATTCACTATAAACTGAAAATTACAAAGACAATTTCTTTATCCCACAGGCGAGAAAAGATTACAAAGACAGTTCCTTTATCTCATTCTTGTCTAGCAGGTGATGTGAGATTTCTCATAAAAAGGTCTTCATGAAAGTTATCATCGACCTGCCCAACAGGACCACCGGGATCTTTTTTCGCGATCTTCTCTAGTTGAGAGGCAAAAGAAAGTCGTCTTGAAAATTATCCACGACCCTGCCTAGCTGGACCTCCAGGATTTTCTTTTGCATTCTTATCTCGTGGAGAAGTAGGACAAAGCCACTCGAACGTTATCCCCGACCTTGTCTAGCATGACCTCTAAAATTTTCTTTAATGGTCTTCTTTAGCTAAGAAGTAAAAGAAATATTCTTAAAAGTTACCCCAACCTTGCTTAGCAGGACATTCAGGATTTTCTTTCGCGGCCTTCTCTCGTTAAGATGCAGAGAAAGTCGTCTCGAAAGTTATCTAAGCCATGCCCAGCAGGACCTCCAGGATTTTATTTTGCGCTGCTGAGATGAAGAAAGTTGTATGTCCCTGCCTAGCAGGTGGCCCGGAATCTTCTTTCCTGCGTTAATAATGTGATTTCAGAAGGAAATTGTAGCCTAGAAATCGGTGGAAGTATCAAAATTTGAGGAGGCAATGCCTACACCATTTGAAAATTTATTGGTTTGTTGTTTGTATAGTGCATGTTGATCTTCGTAGCATTTCAATCGTCTGATATGACATTGGTACATAATAAAAAATATTTTTTTGTATGTCATTAACTTGCTTGATGCAATAAAAATTTTAACGTCACTTCTGAGGTTACTTTTACCTCAATTTTGAGGTGTTGTTGATGTCGACATCTTCTGACGCTTGTGACCTATGAAGTTTTATGGCTTCTCAATCATGCGAAATACTGAAGTCAAAATTAGCTTGTGTACTTTATATAAAAAAATCATGTACCTTTTGAGGCTTATGTTTTATAAGGTTTTTTATGCACCCGTATCTTATGAGGTTTTTGATGTACATGCTTCTGAGGTGTTGTTGATGTCGACATCTTCTGACGCTTATGACCTATGAAGTTTTATGGCTTCTCAATCATACGAAATACTGAAGTCAAAATTAGCTTATGTGCTTTATATAAAAAAATCATGTACCTTTTGAGGCTTCTGTTTTATAAGGTTTTTGATGCACCCGTATCTTATGAGGTTTTTGATGTACATGTGCCTTGTGAGGCTTGTAGCCTTCCGAGATCATTAATGCACCTATGTTTTCTGAGGCTTGTATCCTTCTGAGGTATTTGAATGAAAACTCTATCAACCACTTGCTCTCTTGTAGTCATTTTAGTGAGGACTCCATTCATTTTAGCATCCTATCAAAACTTACTTCTTGGGCTTATTTTTGAATGGCATGGTAGCTTCCCATCAGGTCTTTCCTCTTGGGCTTAACTTCGAGGGGCATGATACACTTAAAATATAGTGTCTTTGTACCTATTTTTGAGATATTCCACTTTAATAAAGGGTATTTGTGTGTTTTTATTTCAGGTACAATCAAATGGATGGAAAATGCTAAAATGAGTGAAAAATGGTCAAATTTGGAACAAAAATGAAGAAAGTGCAAAAATGAACTGGGGCACATAAGCGCCCAAGTCTGACGCCTAAGCGCTAAGTACCCCGCGCTTAAGTTCGAGAAGTAGTTACTTGATGATATATTTAATTTGAGGGGATTTTTGAAGAGGTGTTTGAAGCAACCCTTGATAAAAATGTGGGAAATAGCTCATTAACACGAAAATTCATTCAAGTGGCTTTTGAGGAGGCAACTTTTAGAAGATTCATTGAATGGAGACAACTTTTTGAAGAGACACCAAGGCACCCCTTAGATTTTTATAGTAAAAGACTTAGATTTTTCAAGATAGGAGGCCAACCGCCCATCAACTTAACAGTCATCTTCCATCTAAGTCGTCGCCGCCACCGTCGCCGACCACTTTTTCTTTTTATTTTGAGTTTTAAGTTGTATTGTGAGTAAAGGAAGAGAATTCAAAGGAACTTCAAGACATTTTGTGGAAGAGATTTGAGATAAGTGTATCTTTGTGACTACACTTGGTTTTAAATTAGATTTCTTGTTTGTGTGCATGATTTCTACTTTTAAACTCATGTGTCGTTGTGTTTTATCCATGAATTATGAGTAATTTTCTTTATATTTCTCCTTAAAATGATAAATGATCAAATATTTAAAGGAAGTTGTGTGAAGTATTAGGCTTCAATGCTGGAAGTTGTGATGATTTAAAACAATGCACTTCATTTACTTCTTGATTTGACAAATTAAGATGTTAATATCTGTTGTGAGAACATGTAAGATCCGAGATTGTATTGGCTCAGTCAATAAATGGTTAGAATCACATATTGATTTCATGAATGTGAATGTAGTTTATGGGATTGAGTGCAAATAAATAGGGAAATAAACTTTTAATAATGACTCCATGTTTCATTTGTATTCTAATTAGATTTGAGTCATTGAGCATAAACTTCCTGAGTACTTCTTTAGCATAAATGCATCTATATTCTTGTTTCACTTCAATGTTGAAATAATATATCAGAATCATAATGTCTAATATTTTAAATTCTTTGATCTTTTCTTTATTAAATTTCTTAAATGTATTTGAATTATTATTTGTAAAATTAAGTCATTTACATACAATCACAAAATTAAATATGTTTATTTTAAACTTTTTATAAAGTGTGGGCTCATATAGACATTTAGTGATTTTTAGTTTCCTTAACATACTTATCATTTTTAATATTCCAAGCTCTTGGTTCTTGTTTTAAATCATATAAAGTCTTCTTCAATTTTAAGACTTTTTTGTTTTTTACATCATATCCCAATGGTTGTTCAACATAGGCTTATTTTCCAAAAGTCTATTTAAGAAAACAGACTTCACATCCATTTGATGGATCTGCCATCTATGTTGGGCTTTTAAGGAAATATTAGTCTAATGATTTTAAGATAACCAATAAGAGCAAATGCCACTGAATAATCAATGCTGTGCTTTTTTTATCATATCTTTTAGTCACTAATCTAGCTTTGTATTTCCTTACATCTAATTTAGCATTCTTCTTCATTTTATATGCCCATTTAAATCCAATTATATTATATCCTTGTGAAAGTGTAGTGAGCTCTTATATATCATTTATTGTGATTGCTTTAATTTACTTGTCCACACATGTACCCATTCTTGTTTTATGGTGCTTTATGATAGAGGTTCACATTCCCCAAAAACAAAAAGGATTAATATCATCTTCATTATCGATAATACATATTGTGGGTTATCCAAACTGCTGGTCATCTAGACTGTAGATCGTCCAAATTTTTAATTGTCTAGACTACGAGTCATCCAGACCGTGGTTCGTCCGAGCTAAGGGCTGTCCGAACTACAGGTTGTCTAGGCTGCGGATCATCCAGGCCTCGAGTCATCTAATCATCTCGGCTACCGGTCATCTCTCTGAGAGTTTCGGTCTATCATATTCTCAACTCTTAAAGTCAAAGTCGGGATAAAAATGAAAGAATTTTAATTTAAAAAATATTATCACAACTACTTTATCACATCTACTCTTAATCAACAATTGAATAATTGAACTTCATTTATTTTTTATGACTCCGAAGTGCTCCCTTAAGGCATTCGGGTCGGTAGGATTGGCTCAGTCGACTAGCCTTTACTGGCCCCTGGCTAGGTTAATTTTTGTTAGTTAGCTGATTTGCCGTGTCTGTCGGCCTTATCTGTAACTTAGAGACACTTTCTTTTCTTTTTGAATATTTATGAGTAAACTTATATGAAATTATATGTAATTTTTTTTATCATAAAATAAAGTGAAGTTATTGATTAGTTTTTGCCTTTGTTTTTTTGTTTTATCTCTTTCCGGTTGTTTTATTTTTCTCGCGACAAGCATGTTGCTTATGGTGATTATTGGATCGGCTTCTTCTATCAATGTCTTTAGTAAATTTTGTCGATTAATCGCTTAACTTAAGTCTTACAACTCCTATTCCTCACATACTCAGTCATGTTGTCATCTTGGACTGACCGCACCTTACACCAGCATATTAAGCGGGTCGCGTAATAGCTTTTGCGAGATAACTGTCAAGATTTGTTGTCAGGGTGATTCACATGCTACCCACTATAGTTCTTGTTGGTAATGGCTAGGGAACCACCGCTAGAGCTTGATACGTGCCCAGTTAGGAGACATAAGCTTTTATGATGTTGGGGCATTATTTGATCGGTTCTTGCATAGTTTGTTGATCGAACGTAATTATCGTTATCAGCCAAACTCAATTATTTTTTAAGAGAATATTGTCGATCAAATGACAATTGTCGTTGTCAAACTTTTAAGAGAATAATACTGATCAGATGTTGCTCGTCGCTATCGGTTTTGTTGCTTAAAACGAACTTTTGCCAAACGGAACTTTTGCCACTCGGTCAACCCAAGTTTCTCGAGTGTTGTTTGATTTTTACTATCTATTACATGAAACTCCCTAATTTCTCCAAGCGTCGGTC